AATATTAACAAACAGATCCAGAATATATACTAATACATAAGATGAATCAGTTTGGAAACAAACTTCTGAGCTCACAATGAACCAGAGACGAATGATGGAAAACAGACATTTACCTTGCCCTGAACTGTTGTTTAAGGGCTAGAAAAATGGCCGACTCATAGCCATTTTTTGTCAGAATGTTGCTATACTGCTCATTTATTTGACCCTCGTATCATCAAAGCTAGAATTTATCACCAACAAATAAATTCTACATAAATCATTATTTTTTCCAAGTTTTAATCAAGATCAGTAGTAATTAGAAATTTTGATTCAAAATTAACAAAAAAATTATAGAAAAATACTTTAAAACATTTTTTTCATATCTTTTATATCTTGATTATTACAGATTAATCAAAGAGTTGTTTCAGCATGCTGTTGACCAAAAAGGAAGATCGGTGAGTGAATACCTTGCAGGTGTTTTTCTAGAAAAAAAATGCAAGAGGGAGCGCTGCAATTCAGCGGTGCCACCAAGTAGGGGAGATAGGTTTCTCCCTACCAGGGTGTAGAGTTTTTGATAATTCTAAGTTGAAATGGAGCATTCTATGGCTTCCTTGGGGCCAAAATTACTATCAGACAGGTCGCAGTTGAAGACTGTGGCCACATGTGTTCCCTGGTCAATTAGAATTTTATGGTTGCCAGAGGATCTGCTCCCCAGGGTAAGGGGGCGCATGACCATGGCATGAGGGCGCTGCACCTGTTTCCTTGTTTAAAAAAATTCCTGGCTAGTCTATGTCCAATAAACACAAATTTTGTACTGTATATTTCACATAGATTTACAGTGAAATATTTTGTCTTCATCTTGGATATTGTAGGTTGTATTTATTGATGAAATTGACAGTATTTGTCGCAAGAGAAGCTGTCGGGAGGAAGAACACACAAGGCGAATAAAGACTGAATTGATGAAACAGATGGAAGGTGCTGATAATACCGACAGCGCAGACAATCTCTTTCTACTCTGCGCTACTAACTGTCCCTGGGAGTTGGACACTGCTTTTCTGAGAAGGTTTCAAAAAAGAATTTATGTTCCACTACCAGACAGGTAATGACATGCAGTGTGTCTGTTCGTCTGCTGTGCTGAATGTGAGCATGGAACTTTATCAGCTGTGCTGTGTTGGACAGACCACTGACATCATTAAAATCACAAATACTAATCTGGACACGATTCTCTGGGCCATCACAGCTAAAATACTTAAGAATGACTAACTCCATTTCTTTCTATGATATAATCGCCTACCTTAGAGCGTATACTCTGAGTGGAGAATTGGAAGTTTGGTAAACGCATTTACATCTCTCACCTCAAAAATTTCTCACAGACTGTCGGATCACCCATAGACTGGGCCAGCTGGTTAAAACAGCAATATATAAATTACTGGGTAGGGCATCGCATGCAAGATTTGTGTTGATAAACATTGATTTTCCTACAATCCAATGTATACTACAAGTGAGAAGTACCATATAGTCTCTAATTTAGGCGTCATTTTTCGATCATTTCAATCCTTCCTGACGTCTAATTTTAGATTTTTCATAGTCAACTCCTATTGAAGAGTATGTTGTTTATTGTCGGTAGTGTGAATGGGTAAACAATGAGCTGTTGTCAACGTAAAAAATGTTAAATTCTTCTTCAATGCTCAGTTTACCTTTCGAGAAAAAAATCATGCCGTTCTCCCATCGAAATGTTGTTCTTATTTGAAACTTTTTTTAGAATATACTTCTCATTACAAACAAAAGTAAAAAAAATAAATGCATATTACATTAAATATACTGAGTACCGTAAAATCTGTATTAGAGGCCATTCTTTTTGAATACTTGAGAAATTCATCATTACTCGTATGTGTAGATGCTCTAATAGAAGCCACATCCCCCTCTATTGCATTGTACCATTTTAATAGAAGCAGTTGTTTCTAATACAGATTTTACAGTAATTTTTGTTATCATGTGAACAGTTTTATAGATTGACTGTAATTTTTCAACATTCCGTGTCGCCTATTTTAGAACCAAATTAAGACTCTTCACTTCCCTCTATTCTAGAGATTATACGGTACATGTATGAATTCAAGTTTTGATCTAGTAGCCAAGTGCACTAGATACCGACTCCTTAGTGAGCTTTCAGGTGTTTCAACCCTCTCAGGAATTATCTACTTGTAGGTAAACATTTGTAGTGCCCATTTTTTAGTAAGTCTGTGTAACAATCGGAGCAATAATATGGATTTTGCATATGCATGTGGCCGCGACTACCACCATTTAAGTAATGTGTTCTACTAGTAAACAATCAGGGAAGTTATTTCAATGTCATCCAGTTTCACAACAGTGCTGGCACTGTCTACCGCCCCTGATCTATTTTGCAGCTAATCTGTGGAGCGAATTATTTCTTTAGATGTATATTGCCGTATATATATTTAGATTCTGATACATTATATTTTCAGAGAGGCCAGGATATCATTGATGAAGATTCATGCTGTGTCTAATAACATTGAAACCTTAGCTGACGCTGACTGGGATCTACTAGCTGATGAGACGGATGGCCACTCTGGGAGTGATATAGCCACATTGACGTTAGCTGCTCTATTTCAGCCAATCAGAGATATGCAACATGCCACACACTGGATATGCACTGCAGGTAAACATTTTTTTTTTCTGACGTAGGGATTGGCTTGTGGGCACTTGGAAACAGCTAATTGCAAAAGAGCTGGTGTTTGACAGAGGTGCCTGGTATGCAGGGTGCCCACGGAACAGATACGCCATTGACGCACAACTATTTGCTGTGCTAACTCACTTGCCCCTTCATTGAACCAAAAAAACAACAACATTACATTGATATATTGATCCTGAGATACATTTTACTATAGTTATGAAATTTGTAATTTGATAAAATGAAATTCACATTTTATAAATAAAATAAATGTAAAATCAAGGGCCACAATATTTATGTCTGCACCTCGACTTACCCACACAGTCCTACAATTTCGCTGTTTTGTTGAAGGCCAACCTACTAGTTTTGATGATTGTCACTCAGGATTCTTACAAAATCAGTGCTGTTTGTGGGCACACTGCTGGTATGAGGATGCCAGTTAGAGGCCAGGCTTGACCAATACTGTGCGTGAATCAACAATTTCTTCACCTTCATTTGGATATATAACGTTTAAACAACAAACCCACTATGCTTTGTCATTGTAAAAAATTCAGGTTGTTTCTCTTCAATACCATGGACAAAAAGTCACTGCATGACAACTTGGAAAGTATAGGATGAGCTCAAATTATGTGTGTGGCATAATTAACCTATAATATTTGGCGGTACTGATATTGTACATTTCATTCTCAGATGATCGGTATACGCCGTGCAGTGCTTCTGTTCCTGGCGCCGTGAAAAAAACAATGCAAGAACTGCCACCTGATAAGGTTCAACCCAGAGACGTTGTGGTAGATGACTTCATCACATCGTTACAGACGAATCGTAGCACGGTCACCAAAGATGAATTAGAACGCTTTGCAGAGTTCACCAAGAGCTTTGGACAGAATGGCTAACATAAATATAATTATGTTATAAAAGAGAAGACTTCGAATGCAGTATGCTTTATCAGTAGTCAATGCATGTGTCTATGGACAAACTGATTTTAATGTTCATTTATACAATGAATACAATTTTTGGCTTGTATGCACTTCCAAAAAAACAAATACGATAGGTCACAATGGAGGAAACGATGACATATTGCTACTTTAAACGCATCTAAGTGGATCGGTTGACTTCAGCTGAAGTCATGTGAACATGTAAAACAATAGATGTTTTTGAATTTAAAAAACCCAGTGAATTCACTCAAAATGAAGAAATTAAATACCAGTGAAAGCCTTCATGTCCATGTCCAGTCAAGTGATTTTGTGGGAAAGTTTACCTTTGCGTCTATTCCCAAATTGTACTTACTGTCTAGTCACAAATTTTTGTCACTGAACGGCGATTTACTCTTCAGAATAAATAAATTACAGCGTGAATGGGGTGTGAACTGCTGTTTCAACTCTGTTTAACTTTCAAAAATTGCTAATCCAATCTTTTTTTTAGCCCAAATCAGTGGCATCATATTGCACATCAGAAATTCACTTTGCGTTGAAAATAATATCGCCAATATTTGGGAATCCCCAGAGAATTGTTTCAGTAACCTAACTGTATTCTGATTGGTTAATAACAGACCTGACATATCAGGTCAAAGAATGTTGTTCTGGGTCAAATCATGCATACACTCAAAATCGTTTTGACAATGAAGATCTTGGCTTTGACTGTTTTCCCACATGCTCCAAATATTTTTGCATCTTAAAATATAATGATACATGTACATAAATAATATTGTAATTAAATTGTGTGTATATTTGTGAACAGTTAGGTTGTGGAAATCAATGATAACTTGTTTTGTAAAACAAGGTTTTATTCCCACTTCCTGTTTTAGGAGTACTATGCCCACCAAATATATTAGTAATCATAATTTTGGTGGGTGCTTGATTTTCCGAGTTGAAGTCACTATGCGCTAGCTAACACTGACAAATACTGTTAGGATTTTACAGTACCCTGCAGATTTTCAGACTTCTCATTTAGGGTGCTACTTGCTTATATTGATTGCAATAAAACAATTAATGCTAACCAAGTTTTGTCTAATTCATTTATTAATGTTTATCCTAGTGCCTTCTTGTAATTCTATGATAGTGATGAAAAACATTTTTTGCATTGTCACGTGACGTTGTCACCACAAATTATTTTGAATTGTTTATTACAACTGATTTCAAAACTTACTTTTAATATTTTAAACCTTATTTAAATGGAAGAATTCCGTTGAACTGGTGATCTGTTGATTAATTTTCACCAAATTAATTCAACTAATCAAATCTAGTTGCAAAGACAATTTAGTCTTGGTTGAGTATCGTAGTTCCAGACAAACAGCGCCCTGTCGGTTGGTATAAATAAAAGCATATACCTGTAAAACTATGAAGGGCACTGTACTACATTTACTGCCAGAACATTTACATAATTTATTTTTTTATTTGAAATTTTATCGATGGTGTCCATCTCAACATACTGGGATCTATGATCAAACTTGACTTGCAGATGCACATATTTTGTCTTTCATTGATGTCCATATTAGTTTTTCATTTTCTACCTCAGTACACAGATTGTTCATCCTTCATATATGTAATCCGATTGAATTTGGATGACCATGTGGCCACTGCAAGGTACGAGTACCTAGAGATTTTGGTAAAAAATTCAACCAAAAAAAAATTTACCAGCATGTGTCAACTATTCTGTCACTGGCAACTTTGAAACAAATCTGTCTTAGAGGTGACTGCAGACAGACATGTAAAACCGAGAAACATTTTAAATGAAAACATAAATACAGGATGCACACCAGTAACTGATAATCAGTATTAAAATCAAATTAGAAAAAAAAAATTGGGAAATGCATGTCCAAAAAAAGGACCCAAATTGGATATTTTTAATGACTAAAATTCGGACAAAAAAATGCGCATGTCAACTATCATTGTACCAATCGGTCAAAACATGTCTGAAAAATGGCGCCAGATATGCAAAACCATGAAATGCTATTTGGAATCAAAATGCAAAAAAAAACCCCATCAAGCACCAAACTATCATACCAAGTTTGCATCAAATCATATATACGTTCAAAAAAGGTGTTTTTTTTTAAATGGCTGCTGGTTAGCCATTTTGAATTGAAATACATGTATAGAAAAACTGGATCAGGCACACAACCATCATACTAGGTTTGAAACAGATCGGTCTACCAAAAATTATGCAGATTAGCTACCAAAAACTATAAAAATGTTTAAATGACTTCTTCTATGACATTGTTTTGTAAACATGGCTGATATAGAACACATGCAATGGGTTGACCTTTATTAGTTTTGTTGATAAGGTAACAATCTTCAATTACGTACATTTTTTTTTGTCATTTTTGTTAAAAAAAAATTACATTTTTGACTTCTTGAAAACTACCAGCTAATTTGCTTTGATACTTAGCATGCAGGTTTCTTGGGTAGACCAATATCAGATTTGTTCATATTGTGATATCTTCAATTCTCTATTTTTAGCAAATGACATTTTGGTTAAAAATGCTATTTCCGATTTCTTAAAAACTACCAGCCAAATTGCTTCTGATTTCAATGATGCTTTGTGATAATGCGCAGACTTGATATGGTTTCAGTGCAAATCTGTGTATGTTACCAACATATGAATATATATATAATATGAAACGTCATTCTTTTTTGGCAAAAACCGTTGAACAGGCCAATTGGCCTATTTTTAGATCCAAAATGGCAACAGGGCACATGTACCTAATAAGATTCTAGCTATGTGTAAAATTTGAAGAGAACATTCCAGAGATCAGAGATACAGGTCCAGACGAACGCATGGATGCAACAAGTCCATGTTTGAGACTTCGTCTAAACTGGGAATAAGTTTAAAGTCAAAGAAAATCAAGGGGCCACACCAGTTTAGTTTGTGCTGTCTTTGTGTAAAGTTTGAAAAAGATTGACATATGGACAAATTAACAGTCCAAACATTGCCTGACAAATTTTACAGAACTATGCTGACTACACAACATGCAAGGTTGACGCCTATTTGCAGTTAGCACCAATAATTGTTTTTGATAATTGTGAAATACTGATGTTTTTACAAAACAAACTTTCAAGTAGCGTAACTGAACAAATGATTTCCAATGCACCATGCAAGATGCATGGTAAAAATGAAACTGAACACTCATTGAAAAATCACCTGTGCCTCTTGAGTAATCGCAATGCTCCATTACCGGACTTTATCTACACTAAATATCTTTATTCCAGTCAAATCACCTTGTTCTCCTATAGTGTTCTAAGAACTTTATGCTATCAACATTTTATATGCCTTTGACCTCAAAAAGTGTTGAGACTTGTATGCAGATCATGTGATATCAATGATGAAACACCGATCAGGTCGACACATCCTTGTCCATTCTAGAATAGAGTTGATAGACTTTTTGGCTATATAATTAGATCATGAATATTCATAAGTTGATCAATGTGCAGATCTTGTGTATATGGTACACCTGCCATTCCAAAAGGTCAACACTCATAAACGTGTGTACATCGAGTCATGTTCTAGGATTTTAATAGCGTACTCCAGGGGATGGTCCCACCCTCTCATCAAAAAATTATTCCAGAAAGTTGACATGTTAAATATACATATAGCTAGTTTGAGGTGTTTATTTGTGGACATATTGTTCACATTACTTACTTACCAAAATATGAATCATTAATCACTGACATTTAATTAGTATAAGTAACATAAAATGTGACAAAATAAACAATAAAAGTTTTATTGTAAACAAAAATCCATAAAAACATCAATATGAAGGGATGCCAGATAGACAGACATAGACAGGCAGGCAGGTACTGTTTTGATCTTTGAGAGTCACTGACATCATGAACTACTAGTAACTGGGATAGTAGTTGATAATACCAATAAAATCAATAATATTATGTATAACATCGATGCATTATATAAGCAATTCACAGTTAGCCATAATTTATAGGCACCAGGGAAAACTTGAAATGTTGGTAGGTAAAAATATTGTCAATAGACGTCCTGACTTTTGACACCACATCAACTTTGATACTACTAATAATCAACGGCAATCTGTGAGACACTTGCAACATTATGTACTCACTTCTAAAGATCACATTTGATATTTGAACACAGTTGTCTGGATATTGATGCCTTTTCAACAGTTTCCTATATTTCAAACATGTACAACATTGTGTGGTAACGTCATATAAAAAAGGGTCTATACTTCAATTGACTGGGTTACAGTGATGAATTACTCGGTTGCTTTAGACTTTGTCACAACAATTGAAAGTTAGTGTATTGACAAAATAGTCCTCCAATGCTTCATAGTTTTTTTTTTTTTATCTTTTTCCTTTCTTCTTTTTCTTTCCTTGGCCTTGACCACCAGCACTATCACCACCACTTGACTTTTGTGTCCGTGTTTTGAGCTTTGGAATAGTGTCACAACAGTATAGTAAAACTGACTTTTCTGAAAGTAGAAATGAAAATTAGTTTCATGACTGACAAAAACATCATTGAATGTCTCGACGTAATCAACACGTACATCATTGATTAATTTGTTTCATATTACCGGTACTTACTGTTTGGAAATTGTTCGTACATGGAAGCACCATCCTCATTTAACATTTTTATTCTGATACGCCCTCTAGAGTTGACATCTCTGTTAGGATCTCTTGGATACATTTTATTCTACAAACGATCAGAAAAATTGCGTTAACCCCATATTTTGCTTCCCGGACAATTATTGAAGAGGAACCCAGTTTTTCAGGCAAGCTGGGGTCCAATTTCTAATGAAGTTATCCAGAGTCAAATTTCAATTTCTTAAAATTTTGTAAGTGGGACTCGTCTTGCCGAGACATTAGCGCAAACCCTGACTGATAGTCAATGAAATCATTCTTGTATTCGACTGAATTCACATTCACAGTGGATCATCAAATATCAAAACACATTCATGCACAATGTGTCATGTCTCATGAGTGCATATAGTTTTCCAAGAATCGCACATAATTTAGTCCACCAAGTTGGACCAATTAAAATCTTTTTCATGTCATTGCATCAGTACATTCTATTCCATGAAAGTTTTTTTTCATATAAAATAATAATAAATGTATAATCAATTCCAAAGGACAGTTGAAAACAATCATAATCTCCACGCTTTAGTAGATGCATGGCAGATAAACATTTTATGAATATTTTATAAATTACCATGAAAGCTGTTCACACCTTCCTGAAATGTACTAACATAGTACAATGTAATTCCTAATTACCTCAACACCTATTAATAAACC